GCGGAAAGACACACACTGTTTTATCGAGCGGCACCCAATATCAATCCCATCGCAACGTCTAATGCCCGGTTTGTAGCTGTTTCAAAGTAGAATTGTGCTTGCCCCCGTCGGTAACATGATTGGAGGCTATATAGTTTCTCGAATGTTATGATTTAACAAGGCTGTTTCCCGAACTGGTGTTTAACTAGATGTCTAGCTGTCATTACATCTGTGAGTGCATAGACGGAGAGCATCCCGGGAAGTAACTTTTCTACTGTGAGAAAGCTTTTAACTTGCCCGGCCTTCTTCACGATTTGAAGAGACATTCACAAGTTTTTTTTTTCCTATAAGGCGTCTGAAAGTTGCAGGTCCCGGCAGACAGTCAACTTCCCCTGGATGATCCGCCTACCGTCTATGAAGATGGCACCTATCAAGAGACTTCAGGTTTCTATGGGTCTTATGCAGCCCACTTTGCCTGTGCCTTTGCCTTTGCCAGTCCACATGTGTGCCTGCTCTGGCTCAGCCACAGTCCACGAAGAGACTGATGTCCAAGAGCCTCTGGATCAGCCCTACATGAGCCACGCAGGCTGGGTGTCAGCGGTGCGCGTCTTTGGGTCTGGCAATGTGATGGGGCATTAGGCACAGTGTCGGCACCTCAGTCTAGGTGCCGACACAGCTGTCTGCGAGTACAGCTCTGTGGCTTCACTTCCGTCCGCCGCGCCGGATGGTGTCGAAGACGTTGGCGAGAACGAGCAGCCCTAGCTCGACTGCGGCCCAGCTGCCGAGACTGTCACGTGAGAGCCTGCGTCTCGAGCTCGCAGTGACCGGTGGCACTGGCCAGCTATCGATCCCCAGTCGTCATGAGTACTCCGCTATCTGCCGCGTCCGCGATACGCCTTGTCTGCGGACGCCGGCAGTGCTGGCGATTGCTGGGCGCGCCGATAGCAGCAATCACGGCTGCCAACACACGAGAAACGCGGCATCTGAAGGCTGCCGACACCCCGCACTCGCCCGCCGAGACGGAGGCACGGTCACGAGAGGGGCGCACGGTCACGAGAGGGGCGCATGGTCACGAGAGGGGCGCACGGTCACGAGAGGGGCGCACGGTCACGAGAGGGGCGCACGGTCACGAGAAGGGCACACGGTCACGAGAGGGGCGCACGGTCACGAGAGGGGCGCACGGTCACGAGAAGGGCGCACGGTCACGAGAGGGGCGCACGGTCACGAGAGGGGCGCACGATCACGAGAGTGGCGCACGGTCACGAGAGGGGCGCACGGTCACGAGAAGGGCGCACGGTCACGAGAGGGGCGCACGGTCACGAGAGGGGCGCACGGTCACGAGAAGGGCGCACGGCCACGAGAGGGGCGCACGGTCACGAGAGGGGCGCACGGTCACGAGAAGGGCGCACGGTCACGAGAGGGGAGCACGGTAACGAGAGGGGCGCACGGTCACGAGAGGAATACACGGTCTAGAGAGGGGTGCACGGTCACGAGAGGGAGGCATGATCACGGCGACCGGCCCAACGCGTACTTCAGCGGAACGAGGTGGCATAGGTGGATAAACTTTCTGGGGGACCAACTAACATACTAGTTGCCCCTCCGAATTCTTAGGCTGCAGCGTGCAAGGATGTAACCATTAGGGGACAGGGGACATGTTCCGCAGTTCAAAGAGAATATTCTCCCCTGCATCTCTTTACCTGTGCAATCTACGACTTCGCCGTTTTCTGTCCAAAATGTCATTGTCATGTCAGGTTGTAACCACAGATTCCAATCTGACGCTTTGATTGCCCCCCCCCCCCCCCCAGTCTATGCCAATGGAGGTGTAATCGGCCAGATACGTGTGGGCGGTAATTGGAAGCTGTTAGGAGCGATGGCCGTGATTAGTTATCGATGCTATCAGGCATTCTGGGATTTGTACTAGGCCGCCATTTTGCTCAGCTGTGGAAGTTAGAGATACAGGGGAATAATAGAGTCGTGCAAAGAGCACAACAAGAGACAGCCTCCTACATAAGCTGGTGTTTAGTGAAAATTGCTCCATTAGCAATGAATTATGTTAGGGCTTGTGTATTTTCCCTTAAGCCGGTGAGATCCCCAATGCTTCGAAACGAAAGCACATGTGACATTGGAACGTGGCAAAACCGTAACCTTTTCACCTTGCACAGGTCAATACGGACCGGTGACGTCATGTTGTTGCCCAGGAGCTAATAAGTGAGAAGCATGCGAAACATGCAGCCAGCGTCACCGAGGCAGGCGTCCTGGGGCAGGCGTCCACTGAGGCAGGCGTCCTGGGGCAGGCGTCCACTGAGGCAGGCGTCCTGAGGCAGGCGCCACTGAGGCAGGCGTCCTGAGGCAGGCGCCACTGAGGCAGGCGTCCTGGGGCAGGCGCCACTGAGGCAGGCGTCCTGAGGCAGGCGTCCTGAGGCAGGCGCCGCTGAGGCAGGCGTCCTGAGGCAGGCGCCGCTGAGGCAGGCGTCCTGAGGCAGGCGCCGCTGAGGCAGGCGTCCTGAGGCAGGCGTCCTGAGGCAGGCGCCGCTGAGGCAGGCGTCCTGAGGCAGGCGTCCTGAAGCAGGCGCCACTGAGGCAGGCGTCCTGAGGCAGGCGCCACTGAGGCAGGCGTCCTGGGGCAGGCGTCCACTGAGGCAGGCGTCCTGAGGCAGGCGTCCACTGAGGCAGGCGTCCTGGGGCAGGCGTCCACTGAGGCAGGCGTCCTGAGGCAGGCGTCCACTGAGGCAGACGTCCTGGGGCAGGCGTCCACCGAGGCAGGCGCCGCTGAGGCAGGCGTCCACTGAGGCAGGCGCCGCTGAGGCAGGCGTCCACTGAGGCAGGCGCCGCTGAGGCAGGCGTCCACTGAGGCAGGCGTCCTGAGGCAGGCGTCCACTGAGGCAGGCGTCCTGAGGCAGGCGTCCACCGAGGCAGGCGTCCTGAGACAGGCGTCCACCGAGGCAGGCGCCGCTGAGCAGTGGATAATCGCTCAGCATGGGCTCTAGCCAAACGAAAACCCAAAAGAGCAACGCAGGTGCCCGTCACTAATAACTATCCCTTCGCAGCCGGGCATGAAAACCTGAAGCTGCTGCCTCCAAACATCTAAAGACCCCAAGCTGGCAGCGCTAGAGGACAGTTACCAACCCTTCTAGGACACGATGCCCCTTGAATCCCAACAAGAATACGATGCCATCCTTCAACGGCACAACAGCCAGCGGACGAGACGGTACTCCGCTGTATCATTGAGTACAACTTCAGAGCAACAGACCCATCAGCGGTCCCGAGCGAATCTTATCGTTTTGCCAGTTTTGCATGTATTGCTATGCATTAAACACGGCACACGATTGCAATTGCGTACAATACACCTGAAGATCGTGCCTCCCGTTTTCAACATTCAGATGTTGAACTCTGGAAAGGCGCAGAGCCATCCTCACACCAGCCTTTCCGAAATACCTGATCTCATTTGAGCGAGCTCAGTCAGCTTTCTCGTGCCGATTGTCACACATCGCTCGCTTTCGCAACACCTGTTTACAAAAGCGCCAAAACCGATAGCAGACAGACTGCATTCCCGATTGCGACACCAGCCAGTTCGCTAGCTCTCCAACACCACACGTGGTGAGGGGATGTGAACATGTCGACGATACGCTGCACTCTATGAAACTGACAAGCGGAGCGGCACGTGCTGAGTCTGTCTAGAATTCCAGCAATCGAACATCAGTTACAAAACACCAAGAAGTGCCTGTTTGATTCTGAAGAACAATATCCCAAGCAACACAGCCATGCTCAAGCAAACAAATGTCATGCACCACTTTAAATGTTGTTTTGAGTCTGCACGCTCCCTCATAACAGCGCCTACGTTGGTAACACCACCATATTTATGTGACGACACGGATCTCCATGCACGTGCCAAACGGCGGCCCGCGCTCTCACACCGACCAGCAGCCCAGTGCACGTACAAGCCCCCTCACCTTGACATTAACCCATCGAACACCAATAGTTTGACAAGGTCAAGTGGCAAACGGCATTCGATCGCACTGGAAGTGATCTCCATCAGAGAAATCGAACCATTGATCAGTTGGCAGGTTGATCAGAGGTTGCAAGCGGCTGAGGTTGTTTGAGGGGCATCGACTCCGAACTATGTTGCAAACACGTTCGGCATTCACAGATAGGCTTGTCATGTGAGGGCTGTTCCAGATAGGTTTGTAATCTATGCACACTATTAGAACAGTGAAATAGTCCGAAATGTGCGAAAGACATCCGGGTATTTGTGATAGTCCTGTGCTCATTTTTTAATTTTATACTGGTTAATGCCGCGCTGGCCTGGCCCGTAAAATTATTTTAATACCGATCTCCAAGCATGTTACTGGAGGTAACTAAACAACTGTTGACATAACTGAGCACAGCCGCTCCAACTGCAGCACTACGTACATTACATACATATATGCAATGCATGTTTATGTACTGCAGCCTTCACGAGCATCGCCGTCTGTCACCAGATGCCGTCGGCCTGGACAATCCCGTCCTCTGCCAGACAAACCCGTGTCAGAGCGGCACGTGCTACGAGATGACAACGTCGCTGGTGTCGGCCGGCGGCGCCTTGCAGCCGCCGGCGGCGCCAGAGCTCCCGCGGAGGCTGCTGCAGCCGGACACGGAGGCGCCGCCGTCGGCCGCCACGCCGGACTGCCCGGCGCCGTTCCAGCACAGCCGCGGCCGCTGCCTGCTGCCGACGGCCGACTGGCGGGGCGAGGCGGCCGGCCGGCGCCAGTGCCGGCGGCACGGCGGGCGGCTGGCGCCGGTGGCGGCAGCCGACGCGCCCCGACTGGCGCGCCACCTCTGGCCGCCGCCGCCGCACACGCGCTGGTTCCTCTGGGTGGACGCGGCAGGCGCGGTGCGGCCGCCACTGGGCCAGCGCTGCGTGGCGCTCGCCGCTGACAGCGGCCTCCTGGAGCTGCGGCCTTGCGGCGAGCGGCACCGCAGCCTCTGCGAGTGGATGCCGGGCCGGGCCCGCCGCGCCGCGCCACCACCGCCACCGCCGCCGCCACCGCCGCCTTGGTTCGCTCAGCTCCAGTGGGGCCAGACCTGTCGCTGTCCGGACGGCTTTGGCGAAAGTACCTGCGATCAGGTCTCAGGTGCGTTCACCGGTGCTTCCAAGGCATTTATCCAAAATGCACTCTTCGTTACAATATCCACGCTTTTAAATACACGGCGAACATGCGGTTTGGAGTGTGCACGCATGCTGGCGAGAGTTGGACTGTCACCGCAAAAACACATTTTCTAAGTCACACGGGTGGTAAGTTTTGTTTCGCAACTTCATTTCACTCCCGCAGCGCCTTTCATTTACAAACCGTCTGCTTTTTCTGTGGCGTTGTCTTCAAACCAATGGCCTCAGTTTTGGGGTACAGGGATTACCATCACAATGACATACTTTTCTTCGCTGGCTTCATCTCATCTTGATTAATAGGATCATGACGGGCTTCTGCCAAGGGCATCTAATTGGAGCTTGACCGCCAAAACTTTGCACATTAATGGCGACTGAGAAGCAACCGGTTGGTGACGAGAAGGCGCAGGAAAAATCTGAAAAGTACGCAACTTTGCTTTCGTCGGAGATGTTTGGTAATTTTGTGTAATGATGCCGAAGTTTTTGAATGCAGTTCCGGGTATGCTCTGCTGACTCCAAGCTGACACGTCTTGCCCACCCAAAATGACCACAGACGCGTTCACAGACAAATTTGCCCAAGGTGTAGTACAACTTTCAAAAATGGAAAACAGACATTCATACCTTTAGATGTATCAGAGGGGTCCTAACCAGGCAAATATTGTTTCAAGCATGTCAGCTGCGTTACTGAAGTGAACGCTATTGCTGGAATGCTCGTTTCAAATTCGCTAGCACTCCGCATATTACTACGCGATTTTTCGAAGCATTTTGCAAATGTTCTGAAACATCCCGCCGAAAGGTTCCTTGTAAAACACCTCATAGATGGTGCTTAAGACAACGTCCAGGTGAAAACTTGTTGACATAATGGCACTGTGATGCCGTTCTTAATGACAAATGATGTTCTCTCCACGCCAACGATGCTTGATGGTGCTCTGTCGCTGGCCGCAGACGATACAGGTCACGAGTATTCCTTCTGTGATGAAGCCATGATCGGCAAGCAGCACAGCCATCTGATCTTCGACTTTGCATTCTTCGGCCGAATGCCGCTGGACAGCAAGCTGCTCCCCTGCTACAGACCGGACGTCCCGCTGCCTGACGGCTCTCCCGGCTGTCTGGTGTACACCAGCGAGTCGATCCTCCGCTACTGGTGAGCGCTGAGAGTACCCTCCACTACTGGTGAGCAGTGAAAATGTCCTCCACTACCGGTGAGCGGTGAAAGCTTTCTCTGCTACTGGTGAGCGCTGAGAGCATCTTCCGCTACTGGTGAGCGGTGAGAGCTCTCTCTGCTACTGATGAGCGGTAAGAGCGTCCTCCGCTACTAGTGAGCGGTGAAAGCTTCCTCCGCTACTAGTGAGCGATGAGAGAATCTTATGGTGCTGCTGACTGACGAAAGGAGCATTCGCTGTTGGCGAGAGTTGAGAATATTTGTCACCATTTGTGAGTGGTGAAAAGATCGTGCACTCACCACGGTAGCGGAGAGGATCACTGTCCGCTGTTACGTTTGACAGGAGCATGCGCTTCTGTGGGTGATGGGAGGGTCGTCCGTAAACACGTTGGGTGTTGAGAAAGTCCTCCACTACTGCATAAAGTGGCGAGAGAGTCCTCCAATATTTCAAAAAGTGGTGAGAGGATCCTCTACTATGGCAGGAAGTGGTGAGAGTGTCCTCCGCCAGGTGGCTGAAAGATCCTCCACCACTCTGGTGAAGAACTGAAAGATGCTCTTCCGCTGGCTGGTGGTAGGAAAATCTTCCTCTTCTGCGGGGTTGAAAACTGTCCTGAGCTTTTTTTGGTTTTAATCCGAACCTTTCGATGTATGGATTTATGGGATAAGAGCTCACGCTAAGCAGCGCTTGTTGTGCGGGCCCTGACCCCTACCACACGATCGCGCAATTCTAGGTCAACAGTAGAATTTGGTGGCGAAAGTTGAACGTGCCGCAATGCTCGACATGGTACTCCCTGGACTCTGACGTCACCTGACCTTTAGCCCAGCTGCAAGACCAATCTGCCTAGGGCAAAATAGCTGTTTTAGGAGAAAAACGTTTTTCGGTGGGCTTCGTGGGCTGTGTGTTACATTCCTTTGCTCGTCAGTAATTTTGTGATCCTTTGTTTCCGCTCAGTGGTGAAAGCGGCGTCACAGTACTATTGTAAATAGATGCGATATTAGTTCGTCACTGTCTTACGTATTACCACTGGCTGCCGTGATGCAATACCTTTAAACGTGAGAAACATTTATTGCAAATGTGTAGATTTTGCTCACCATATATGTGCGATGATAATGATTGCAGTTATTGTTTTGGTAATGACTGCATGTCGGCTACAAGGGCCGTTTCACGCCTACGTACCAAATATGCGAAACGACCTTGCCATTGACTACCGCCTAGTTGCTCATCCAACCTCCACCGATGATTGCGCGGTCGGAAATCTGCTTTCTGCTGTTCCTCGCTTAAACGGTTGCCCTAATTGCCACGACAGCAGTTGCACACTTTTGTGCCTTGGAATAATTTACTTAGGCGGGCACCATGTGACACAACGCCCATAGAAACAATCACCGAAGGGAAGGCGGCTGTGGCGTGGTCATTTCTTCGCGATGATGTACGTCATGTGAGGCACCGGTGCCAGCGGCGTCGCGCAGTCGCTGACCAGCGTCATCCGCCAGGTGTCAGGGCAAGGAGACGTGCTTCCCCAGCGCCACCTTCATCGCCGCCTACGACCCAGAGGCGTGTGCGGGCGTGACTGCAGCGCTGCGCATCCGCTACCGCACCGAGTCCGACGTCAGTCAGTGCGCCTTCAACAGCTCCTGGTATGCGCCGCACAACACCTGCTATCTGACGACGGACGCGTCCGGCCGCTGGGAGGACCAGTTGCTGCTGTGCCGCCAGTTGGGCGGCGACATGATGCACCTCGTCGACAACGACGCTGACTTCGCCACGTGGGCGCTGACGCAGGCCGAGGCCGATGTCCACGGACTCTGGCTGGCCGGCAACGCCACCGAGCCGCGTCCCGTGCTGGACCTGCGGCGCGAGTGGTACCTGCCGAACCGCGACCGGTGCCTGCTGCCTGGCGGCGCCATGGCGCAGTGCCAGGGCGAGCTGCGGACATTGTGCGCGCTGCCACCCTGGCCGAAGGGCGAGGTGCCGGCGTCATTGCATCCGTGTCCGGCTGCCAGCTTCCCCGACTACGGACTCAGCTTCCCAGTCACGGCGGCCGGCCGCACCGCCGTGCTGCCCTGCGGCGCCACCTTCAAAGGCTCCGCCACCTATACCTGCGGCCTGGACGGACGCTGGAGCGCCCCCTACCCGGACCTCACGTGAGCCGACGCTGGCGACGCTGCCATGGAGCACGCGTGTTGCTTATATCCGTTCGCTCGGGTCACAGAAGACTGGCTCGTGATTCGATGCGTGCTCGCGGTAGATACTTGATTTGTACGTGGTTGGTACGGCCCGTAGCTTCGTGAATACTGAAATGTGCTCGCACAAAGGTGCTTGGCAGAGTACCTACACGACCGCTGACGCTCACCACTGCACCGCTGCACCTGGCTGACATGCAGAGATTGCCGGTGTCTAGGAAAAATCTATGTGATATGTCATGATGCCGCACGGATCCGGGATCCAATGGATCCAGGACCTGAGCCTCTTGTGCTTCACGTGCTCAAACGCTACACCAACACCATGGAGGTACCTCTGCGTTCCCTAGCCCGTCAGCCCGCTCGGTTCCTCTTCCCCTTGCCCATACCTCATCTGACACATGTAGCAGTCGTGCCAGAAATTCTCGCATGCCGACGTTTTGACCCAATTCTCTCGCTCGTGATGACAAACGTCGGCCGGCTGACGCAATCCCCTCCCCCCTCCCTGCAGGCAATGCACGTCCTCCACGATCGACACGGACGACGTGGCTAACCGCCTGAAGGAGGGCAACCAGTCGGTATCGCTGATCGTACAGGAGCTGGCCACTAACTGTTCGCGGACGACGCTGTCGTCCGGCGACGTCATAGGTTCGGTGCAGCTGTTGCCGCTGATGGTGGAGACGCAGCGGACGCAGCTGCGGAACGCTTCCGACCACGTGGACGTGGCTGACGGGTATGCATGATATCCGGACGGGGGAGTGGACAGGCAGACGCGTCGCGTGTGCCGCGGACACGTGCGGCACTCTTGTCGCTCGCGTCGCCCGCGCGGCAGAAGTTGAAATCGCTCGAGATAGCACGACGCTTGGTCGTTCAGGGACGCCTGGTCGTTCAGGATGCATGAAACGGACGATCAATGGTCGGCAGCCGACTCTATGTACTGAGCGCGTCCGTCACATTGCATGGCGATGCATTGATGGGAACGGATCTGGAACATTCAAGTCGCTGGGAGGCTTCACAAACACTGCAGGGTTAAAAACGGGCCGACACGTTTGAGACATTTACAGAGCCACTGCATTGTCGGCAGAAAATTCGAGATGTTTGGTGCTTCGGACTTGCTGATAAAAATTTTACGCAGAGTTGTTGGCAAGACATGCCGAATTTTCAGATTCACTTTCTGAGACGTTATGTGTCACGTCAGGCGACTGGCGAATATATAAAATGGCCCGCATATACAGCCAACTGCAGAGACCTACGAATGAGCTTAAGGTTTTTCAAACCAAAAACCTGCTGGCAGTATTATTAGGTTTTACGCATGCGGGGAGACGTCAGTTGACCGGGTATGGCCCTCAAAAGTAGCCGCCAAGCCGATGTCATTTCCCAAATGTGTCAAATGTACCCCTAGTATTAACCCGGCTGCCAACTTCATCTTCAAGGCCTTGCGAAAACATTGAATCGGTGGGGTGTCTGAATCGCCAGTAATGTCCTACGTGGCTTTATGGGCGTGTCGAACGCATCGACCATGTCGAATCGATCACTATGTTTGCACTTATTCTAAGTTTGCCCAGCCTATTCCTTTAGAACAAGCTTACCCATCGGTTCATGCGTGTTTGGCAACGGAGCAGCAAACGCCTTCAAGCACATTTCGCGCCGCTGCTGGCGATGTCGTCACCGTTGGGGTCCTCGTCGCCGGCAAGCCCGGCGCTCCGGCCAAACCAATGGCGTTCGGGGCCGCGCGCGCTCGGCTGCGTGCGGCACATCTGCCGCAGGGCCGCCGACAGCATCTCCAGCTGGCTGTACAGCCGCAGGTCGACGTCGAACTCGCGGCACGTGCGCAGCAGGGTCGGGTAGAGCGCGTGCAGTCTGCTGACGTCCAGCGTGGGGAAGAGGTGGTGCAGCACGTGATCGCCGAATGTGACGGCAGTGAGCACCAGGCTGCCCACGTACTCGGGCCGGTCGTTGGTGGCGTCCAGTTGGTGGAGGCCCCAGTCGCGGTCGCGGCGCGGCGCGTCGCCGTCGTGGAAGTCGTCCGGATGGTGGTGCGTCGAGGCGAGCATCACGGTGAGCGTGCAGAAGCCAGAGGCCGCGCACATCACCAGCCAGGTGCGCAGGGCGACGCTGGCGCTGCCGGCCGCTGCGTGCAGCAGCGGCAGCCAGAGGTAGATCAGCGCCGACTCCGGCGCCAACGGCTGCAGGCCCAGCGCCACGGTTAGCGGCTTGGTCAGCACAAACAGCGGCGCCAGAAGCAGCGCCAACAGCAGCGCGATGGCGCCGCTCAGCCAACGATGCGTCCAGGGCTTGTCGCGCTCGCTCAACAGACGCAGCAGCGGCGAGAAGTAGAACACCTCCGGATCGAACACGGTGTTGGGGAAAGGGTGGTGCGCCAGCACGTGGGCGGCACGCAGCTCGGCCACGGTCGGCCCCGGCGCCAGTGCCCCCAGGAACATGCGCAGCGAGTCGCGCTGGTGGAAGTAGTTGTGCGCGCAGGCCGCTACCAGGTGCAACACGAAGCCGGCGAACAGGGACAGCGCCAGCGAATCACGAGCCGCCGCCAGCCAGGCGGCCGCCACGCTCGCCACCGTCAGGCCGTCCATGAGCGCGTGCGTGCGCCAGGTGGGGCCGGTGCGACCGCCGGCGGCGCCAAGCTGCCCAGCCACACGCCGTTTCAGGGTTCGGTAGAAGCCGTCCGGGTGAAACGTGTAGGGTGAGTTGCGCGGTCCCTCGGCATCGCGCGCGTAGAACTGCTGCAGCAGACGTTCTGGTCTCCCCGACAGGTGCGAGCTCTCGAACAGCTCGGTGATGTCGAGGCCGCGCGTGGCGCGGATCCACCAGGCGCCGCCCGGATGCGCGGCCGCGAACTCGGTCAGGTCGTAGAGCCGGTCGTGCACGCGCCACAGGCCGCCGGCGCCCTCCAGCTCGGTGCGGCCGCTCACGTGGCCGAGCGGGTACCAGTCGCGGTGCACCGGATACGCGCGGAAGCCGCTGGTGAAGCCGAATGCGCGCGGGTCGAGCGCGACGAGTGCGTCGGCGGTCCCGGTCCTGCGCTGCTGCGGCTGCTGCGCCATCGGGCTGCTGCCACTCCGCCGCCGAGCTCTTGCGCAGCCAGGGACGCATCGCGACCGAACTGACAGCGCGGCGCACGCGGCCGGGCCCGGCGCTATCACGCCCATCTGAGGCGACGCACCGCGGGTTCGGCGCACGAGGCAGTGACAGCGGCGAGATCGCGGCGGTATGGCACAGAAAGTCTTGCCACCCCGCCGTGGTGCTCGTCGCGCCAACAAGTGATATGACAGGGGCACCAGTCGGCGGATAAGGCATAATGTTTGGTACGCCTTATCCAAAATTATTTCGGCTGGGAGTATTGAAGATGGCTAATGATCGCTGGCCTCCGACGGCTCGGCAGGCCCATCGCCAGACCATCCAGCCGGTGTTGGCCAGGTCTACCGTCAGCTGTGGTACAGGCTTTCAGCCCTGACAATGGTGTCAGCGCGTCCTTTTCGTCCGTTCGCAGGTATGTGCGAAACGTGACGTATCTCGTGAGCCAGCTGACGAAGGGAGACGCCTCCTGGTTCAGCATGCCGCCGCGGAAGAGGAGAGGCACGTCCACCCTGCTGCAGTACAACGTCGAGCAGTCGGCGTACCTGCTGGCTGGGTATCTGCAAAACGAAGGAAAAAACTTCACCGACCACTCTGAGATACGTGAGTAGTAGGACGGCACGCGACTTCCATGTGCGTGCAAGTGGAAGGAGCAAGGCTGCTTTAGGAACAGTGGCTTCTCATTAATGACTCGCTTTCATTTTCTGTCAGCCTAGATAAAATCTCTCCTCTCTCTCTCTCTCTCTCTCTCTCTCTCTCTCTCTCTCTCTCTCTCTCTCTCTCTCTCTCTCTCTCTCTCTCTCTCTCTCTCTTCTTCTCCTCTTCTCTCTCTCTCTCTCCTATTCTCTCTCTCTTCTCCTCCTATCTCTCTCTCTCTTCTCTCTCCTCTCTCTCTCTGCCCACCCTCTTGCTCGTTCACTCGTTCATCTCTCACCAATTCACAGTCTGGACAATGTCTGCCCCGTCGTCCGCGGCTATCACTGTCACCGTAGGGACCAAATGCGCACATTTCAACATCATCCACGAGCAGGGACGCATTCCAAACAATTGGCGAAGACTCACTAGCTAGAAAGCCATTCAGAGGCTCGCGTGACTGAAGCTGCATACCAAAAATCCACCGCCTGATGCTTGTGAGAAGCCGCATCCGGTCCTGACATCGTCCAACTCCCAGCTTTCGTGTCGAGATGGAGGTCCATATCGGCTACGCTGAGAGTAAGACTCTGACTGTCTGGCTGGCGACAGCTTGCCCCTCAGGGCGACAATCAGTGCAGTGTCCAGCGCGGTCAGCAATCCTTACCCCCCGTTTCCTCCGCCGACATGGCTCGTGTCCGAGAGCGGGTATCCAAAAATGGACACCACTCTCGCCCAAAAGTCTAAACGAGACGTAACCTCGTCACACACTTCATACATGACGGTGATCCCTGTCGTCACAACCCGTCCCTTTTCCTCTCCTCACGACACACCGGTCTCAGATCCCTCGCGACTCTTCAAACCCTGTCCCCCTTCTTCCCGCCGCAGGGCTGCGAGCAGGCCGCTTCACCAACGACACGCTGGCGAGTCAGCTCCAGTACCGGACGCGGCAGGGCTCGTCGGTGACCCTGCCCGCCGAGGTGGCCCGCTTCCAGGACGAGGAACAGCGCACCAGCCTCGTGTTCGTCGAGTACGGCAACATGGACTGCCTACTCAGGGGTCAGAAGTGCAGGTCAGGACGCCGGTCCGCGCGCCGAGAAGGTGCGGCGGCGACTGCGGCGCTGCTGGCCGTGTGTCTGCTTTCTCGCCATCGGGCTGGTTGTGTTTCGCGTCGCACATTTTGATGGCTGTCGCTGTCGGCTGTCCTTGTCAGCATGTGTGGAGTGCGGGGCATTGGGCTTGGGATCTCGACCACCAGTTGTGTGAGAGTGCACAATGTGAGTGTGCGTTGCTTGCTCCCCGCCTGGAATGATCGAACTCGGTAAATTTATGTTATTCAGCCAGGGAGAAGCAAGGTGAACACGGCCTGAAATGCCATTTCAGTTTTCGCACGGAATGTTACAGCCGACAGGAGTGTTCCTGAGAGTGGATCGTAAGCAGAGATTGTTCTGCATACCTTTACCACACCACCCGAATCCTTCGGCAGGTACCGATCCAGATAGCTTAATCGATGTATAACAAGCCTACTGCTGAACTGATCCATTCAATGACAGAAATAATTGTGTAGATACACCAGGACTGGAGGTTCCACCTTGCACTTCTTATACCAGCCATGAGCAACTCATGCGTCTACAACTGCAAACGTGCAGAAAACGAGACAGATGCCGGTTGCCTCAGCGGAACGGCCCTTCCATTTCCAGTCTCACTGACGGCGACTATCCGTACTCGTCGTTCGTGAACTCCCCGCTAATCAGCGCCAGCGCCAGCGGGGAGCGCTTCATCGGAAACACGTCCGTGATGTTCGAGACCTCCAACGTGACGCTACACTTCGCGACCCGCCTCTCGGCCCGCGAGTACAGCATTTCGAACGTGCAATGCGCGTTCTGGAACGACTCCGTCCAGGTACGTCGCGGGTCGGATGCGACTCGTCGACAACGTCACCGTCTCTCCGGCGCTGGTGCGCTCAGTGACGCAGCCAGGGGGCCGGCGTGAAAGGACCTTACTTCCTCGTCAGGCTTAACTGATGCGAACTGATGCGACTCAAGGATGTGGCGAACAAGACAACTATTTTGTTTTCATTCTTATAGACGGTACCCTGGGCCTTGGCATGTGACTAGCGGATAGCCGAATAATCATATACGGTACCTAGCTGAAATGATTGTTTAAGGAACCAAGGCAAACCCAGGGTTAGATCCAGGATTTCGTCAAGGGAGGGGCACGCAACATCGTGGGGCCCCCTGGAGTTTGGGGCTTCCTCCTCCCAAAAAAGAGACGAGAGGAGAGAGGATGAGAAGGCAGAGAGAGAGAGAGAGAGACGAGAGAGAGAGAGAGAGAGAGGAGAGAGAGAGAGGAGCGAGAGAGGAGAGAGAGAGAGGAGAGAGAGAGAGAGGAGAGAGAGAGAGAGAGAGAGAGAGAGAGAGAGAGAGAGAGAGAGAGAGAGAGAGAGAGAAGAGGAGAGATAGAGAGAGATAGATATATATATATATATATATATATATATATATATATATATATATATACATATATATAGGTACGTATGTATGTATGCATTTACTTATTCATTTATTTCATAAATACAGAAACCCATTCTACTGTGCACGGCCTTAAAAAGCCAGGCGTGTTACGCATGCATACACATAGAGCTCACCCACTTCCTACAGATCATGTTATATGCTGTGGCTCTGAGGCAAAGTGTTTCAGAACAACAGGCAAAATAAACTTGAGTTAGCTGCTAACAACCATCAAAACCAAGTATGGACTTCATTTCTAGCTTACGTTTTTACGGCCAGCCGACTGGGTGATGTGGTCAGTTGATGACTGATGACTAGTGCAGAATTTTACCTCTGTTCTAAAGAAGTGCAACATATCCTAGCATTCGAAATATGTTAAGAACATGATGCACTAGCATAACAAGTGTCACGCACTCAATACCTAATGAAAATGACACGTACGACGCCGACGGGATGAAAAATTACGTTCGCCAATTGCGCGTAAAAACTCATCGGCGCCTATTCGACCGCTACTCTGAGGTGAAGGCACCAAGGCCAATAGGGACGAAACCTGAGCGATCAGTGGGTGCCGTAGGAGGCCAACAAAGTGGCTCCCGTCAACAAATATACGGTCCGCAGACCAAGCGAAAAGAACCCAAGACCAACGTGGTGGGCCCATGAACGACCGGTAATGCCTCGCCAGGCTGACCTATAAAGCCCCGGTCAGAGTACAGAACCCTCCGAGCGAAGGATAATTATCCAAGACCATAAATTAAAACACCTGTGCGACCAAGAGTGCGCGGGCGAGTTAACATCACAAACCTCGACAGGAGTGAAGAGTCCTCCGCAAATGAGACCAAAGGGAGAGAGGCCTCGATCAAAGTAGGTGGCCCCTGAGCGTCAAGTGTCTCCGTGCCTTACCTTATAAAAGCCCTAGCTGCACAAGGACCCTCCAAAGTAAGTGGGAAGAGCCCGAGACTCAAATGAGGGCCCCCTGAGCAACTAAGTATACCCTGGCGTTTGGGGTCTGGAAAAAAAACGTAAAGAGCCTTTCGAGCGAGTGGAGAGAATCCGCGGAGGAAAACCTGATCGATCAACAGTGCTCAGGCATAGAGGCAGATAGCGTCCCAACCGCACATTGGGCCCTACGAGAAAATGCAAAGACAGCAAGGGTAACGTGGAAAGCTCCTTAGCGATCAGATTGACCCGACAAGTGGACATATAGGGCCAGGAAACGAACAGCACAATGGCTCTAGACAGCGAAATGGGCACCAAAATTTCCCCCGAGCAGCACTTTCTCAATCAACAAAAAATGAGCTTGGTCTGCTTATGAACTCTTCACTTTTGCTAGCAATTGTTCTTGGTCGCCTGTAGGCTCAAAGGCTTCCAATTTTGTTGTGAGAAAACTGCGTCCGCCCGGCCGTTTATGGGCCCCTTCGGAGCCTTTAGGTTCCCTCGGCATGGTATATGGGGCATGGTCCCGTGCCTCCCCTCCACTCCCCCTCTGCATACGCTACCGGGTCGACCAGCTTAATATATGGGGCCCGCCAAGAACATTGGGCCATCCATTCAAAAAACAAAAAACAAAAACAACTCACGACACAATGCGTAGGGCTCTGAACGATCGAGTGCGCCCGAGCAGGTTAACATATAAGGACCTCATCAAGGGCGTAGAGCCCTCCATTCAAATGGGAAGTACCCAAGGCCCAATGTAGAGGGTCCCCGAATGATTGGGTGTGCCGAGCAGGCTAACAGATAAGGTTCCCAAAAAAGCGTGCCCCCCCGTTCAAATAGGAATTATTCAAGACCCAATGCAGACTACCCCCAAATGATCCATTGTGTCAGAGCAGGTTAACATATAGGGCCCCCACCAAGAACTTAGGACCCTCCATTCAAACATGAAGTACCCAAAACCCAATGAAGAGCGCCCCCGAATGATCGAGTGTGTCCGAGCGGGTTAACAAATAGGGCTCCCAACAGGAGCTTAGGGCCCTCCATTCGAATGGGAAGCACCGAAAACCTCATGTGAATGGCCTCACCACCAAGACCCAACACCAAGACCCAATGTGCAGGCCCCCAGACAATTCAGTTTGGCCGAAGCAGCGAATAGATGGGGTCCCCGACAAGTACGTAGTCGGGGACCCCTCCGCTCAGATGAGAAGTGCCCAAAACACTATAACACTAGCACTTTATGCTGAGCTCCCGGATATTCGAGTGTGCCCAAGCAGGTTAGCAGACGGGGCCCCGGCAGGAGCGCGCGGCCTGCGTTCAAATATGAAATACCCACGCGGCAGCCACGCAGTAGATAATACTCGCGGCAGACACGACGTAGAGGGCCCCGAAAAATTGAGTGCGCCAGAGCAGGTTAACAGATAGGACCCCCGAAAAGCGCGGAGCGCTCTCCATTAAAAAAGTAAGTACCCAAAACCACATGTAGAGGTCATCCACGATCGAATGGGCCCGAACATCTTATCAGAAGGGACCCCGACGGGGGCGTAAGGCCCCGTTGAAATAAGAAATATCCCAAACCCGGTGCGGAGGGCTCCCAAAAGATGGAATGTACCCGAATGGGTTATTAGATGACCCCAATAGGAGCAGAGAGCCCTAAATTCAAATACCATGAACCAATGGCAGGGCCCCCGAGCAATCCAGTATGACCGAGCGGGCGAACAGAGGGGGCCCCGGCAAGTGCGCAGGGCCCCATTCAAATGGCACGTGCCCAAGGTCCAATGAAGAGGGCCCCGAACGATTGAATGAGCCCGAACAGGTTATCAGATAGGCCCCCCGAAGCGCAGGGCCCCCATTAAGAAAAGAAGTACCGAAGACCCAGTGTGAAGGGTCCCCGAACGACTGGTGCGTCCAAGCAGGCCATCAGATTTGTTCCCGATAAGAGTGCAGGGCCCCAAGCAAGTGATAGATAATTGGAAGCGCCCTAGACCAATGAAGAGGCCCATGAGCATATCGCAACCGTGCCGGTAGGCTAACTGAGACCCACGTAAAGGACCCCTAAGCAACCCAGAATACCCCGGCAGGTTAATATATGGGTCCCCGGCTATAGCCCACAGAGCCTTTCTGGCGAATGGAAAGAATTCGTGGAAGGGCCCGTGATGGACAAGAGTACGCCGGAACGCTACCAGGAAAGGCCCAACAACAGCGCAGGGCCCTTCGATCAAATGCAAAGAAATAAAGGGCAACGTGGAATGCTCCTTTACTCTGAAAATGATTCTAAAAGTGGGCATGTAAGCCTCCTAGAAACAGCATGGGGCCCCTAGACCGTGTAATGACCTTCATGAAAGTTCTTGTCCAACTGTTCTTGCCCATCTGGAAGTCCAGGGATATCCAGTTGTGTTGCGTTTTGTGTTAAAAAAGAACTACACCTGTTGGGCCAGCGATGGGCCCCCACGGAGTCAATGCCGCGAGCAGCCCGCGCGAGCATGGACTTGGCCAGTTTCCAACGGGGCACACCGCTGACGAGCTCGAAAGCCTTCTAACACCCTCTGTTGGCAGGATTGGTCAACGGAGGGCTGTTACGTTAGCCAAGTGTCTGATGACTTCATTGAGTGCAGCTGCAACCACCTGACCAGCTTCGCCACCCTGATGGACATCAATGGGGTCATCGTGCCCGGCTCGGTGGGTGGGCTGCTAGCCTGGCCCCGACCTTCGGTCGCATTCGCGGTGGCGGTCGGGGTCGCGGTGGTCAAAAACATCTTGGAGGCACAGGGCACCAGGACCTGTCCCCGCAGCCTAGCACTGTCACTACGAACACACAGGTCACATGTCGCCACCTCCTGCTGGTCGAGCGGAGATGGCCGCACAGCGTGCCTACCAGGTGACCGATATCATCGCAGTCCCCGCACCCCAGAGGCAAGCGGCGCTGACGCCTCGCACCGCGGCAGGGCCTGGACCTGGCGCTGAGCTGGCTGACGAACGTGGGCTGCGTCATCAGTCTCATCTGCCTTGCGCTCTGCATAGTGATCTTCAGCGCCGTCTCGGCCCTGCGCAGCGACCGCACCTCGGTACACCGCAACCTCTGCCTCTGCCTGTTTGCCGCCGAGCTCATCCTGCTCGCGGGTGAGCGACGTGAGCCGATGCCACGACAGAACCGCGGGCAGGGGCGGTCTTGTGATCCAAGGGCGACCAATTAACGGAGTTGGTGTCCTGAGAGTATCAGGAAATAATATAACCGTCAAGGCCCCAGGAATGCTGTTTCATGAAGGAGATAACAGTTGTTATGCTATGCAGAGACAGTGGCGTAGCCGAGGGCGTAGCCATGCTCTCTTCCAGGTGAAGGTGGAGGGAGCTCCTCTGGAACCGAAGGCTCAGCACTCTTTGTGCAGCTTAAGACGCCTGTTGATCTTCTAGTCTTCTAAAACATTGCGAATAAACCCTCAAAGCATCAGCATGAAATCCCGAGCCTAAAAGCGTCCTAAAAACGGCCGTTATAGCTACGAAGTGAAGCTACTTTGGCTAAGAGTACCCAGTAGACCCCGATTTGGCCTTACCCTGGCGATATCCTGGCTACCGCTGCGCAGAAGTGGGGCTCTGTTTTGAACGGTCATTAGGATGCTCCTCATGTTTTTAAGTCAAATATTTCTGCAGACCCCACCCACCCAGTGCACTGGAAAGCGGCTCGGAACACCAACGGTTTTTCAACTCCCTCCCATGACAATCAAACGTACGTCGGCTCCATGTAAAACTGTTTCTGCCTGTTGCCAAGAGTCCAAGCCAGTTATATGCTCTCTGCGTCCTGTGACCACCAAGATTGAAATGTTTCATGGCGTGTTTACATCAAGCACATGTCTGCGTATTGCCACCGTTTGACACGTTTGGCCGGTTGATATGTCATTGCTGTTCTGCCCTGCTTTACTTAAGATACGCAAACCTGTTCGCAGGTTTGGAACCGCACGGAAATGCCGTGGGATGTGCGATTGTTGCTGGGCTTCTGCATTTCTTTTTCCTCGCTGCATTTGCTTGGATGTGCATCGAAGGCGTTCAGATATACTTGCTGCTTTACAAGGTAGGTGGGCGCCTCGTGGGCGCAGTCTCTTCCGTCCGTTTCCTGCCTATCAAAGACAGGCGCTAACTGGACTGGCCTGTGCGAGATATCAAGTAACTTTGTCAGCTTGTCTCGTCGGTGGATAAATAATCCCCGAAGTCATCTTTGTATTGGCATGCAGATATAGGTCATCGTCTTGCGCTAATATCCATTGCCTGTTCTGCTGCATGTCCACTAACCCGACCTTAAAACCGACCTACACCAACTTTAACCCGACTTCCAACGATTTGGCATGAGATTCGAACAATAGTTTTTCCACCGCCTTACATTGTTTGGCAAAAGCCCGTAGTTAAAGCAAAAAGGAGCAGAGAATGACGTTTCCCTACTTTCGGTCGGATGGCAGTGATTGGTATTCCGCGCTGTATGTGCTAACTACACCGTCACCCTGCTGCAGGTCTTCGACTCGGGACGATCGTATATGCGCTACTTTTACGGTCTGGGATACGGCGTCCCCGCCTTGATCGTCACAATCTCTGTCGCCTCAACCAAGGGCGTTGGCTACGGCACGGACATGGCGTGAGTCGGACGCTGTTTTTCGTCGAGACAAGGATATTGACAACTAGATACAGGCTCGGTGTCGGTGCTCGCAATGGGGAAGGGACGAAGAGACATCCCACAGTTAGCTGCCCACATCGGGCATCTTGTCAGGATGCCCGATGGGGCAGCGCTCATCTTCTCAAGCCAGCAAAACGGAACGGTTATATCACTCGTTTTAGCTCACTGACGAGTGAAATCTGCCTATAATTTTCCACCATGTGCTTAGGTAATTTGTGTTGTATTTGTTGAGGTAACTACAAGAATACAGCGTCCACAATATATGTGGCTGTCACAACCCGTTTGCACGCAGGTTCTCGACACCAGAATTAAATCACTAAAACATGTGTATTTCAGTTAATGTAAAACAAAGCATTAGCACTTCTCTACGAATCCTTTCAGAACGTCCTTAACCTTCCCCAAACAAGCTTAGAAAAATACCCTCCTGTTAAGAATGCCTTTTCCCCTCACTAAAAAAGTGCATTGCGAGCCAGATGCACTTCCGTGGGACATTGTTCCAAGCTGCTGAGCCTCTCTCAAGGGAAACCGACCCTTACCTGCCTCAGTTTGAACGTGTGACAACTGAAACGCCCACCATGGCAATGTCATAAGCAGCACAGATCTGTTGTGACGATGCTGCTGCTTCACCTGGCACCGAATGGGCATACGATTATAAATATGTACACATACCTGATGCTTAATAAGCTCGCCCCCGTAGAGGCGCAGCCAAGAGTCTTGGTAAGTTGGGGGAATAGGGATACATCGCTGACGAATGTCTCCTCCTTGTGAAAGTCTCCCCAGCTCAAAAACGGATTGACTCCCTTAATTTCAAGTGACACGATTTTTTCCGTTAAGTTTCAATATTTGTCTTAAACTGAAACAGAAACCGAAAGCAGCAGTAAGGTCAATTTTTTGCATTCTGAAGTCAATAAACGAAAGAAACTAGGCGCTAAGCGACTGTAAAAAATAAACGGTCGGAGCTATTCATTACGCGATGGTTCAGTGAACGTTTTCTAAGCCAACAGCACTGACGGACTGCGCCGAACTTTTCTGGGTTGTACAGTTTTTGTGAACGTAGCTGATAGTGGACGTAGATGGGAAATCGAAATAGGATCATAAAGTTGCATTGACAAGGCCAGCACATGCTAGTCTGCGATTGTTAGCCTTCATCAGTGGCCGAGTAGTGGGAGATTTACATGATAGTTTTGACCTTGTGGGCTCGCAAGTCCTTGAACAAAATCCAACGATCGGCGTTGCAGCCTCCGTGGGCCCACGGCGTTGACCCGCCGTTTACACGAGATGGCGGCCAGAGGACGGACAAAAACGATACAGTTTTTAAAAGAAGTACCTTTGAACGCTATAGGATGTCAGTTTGCACGTTTAACAGGCAATACGGAAGTATGTTTCACCTGTTCATTTTAGATTTATAGGGGGAACGGATTATGACTCACTGTGGCTGCGAGCCGGTGCTGGTCTTTGTTAATGGAACTAGACAAGTATAGATAGAATCGCCATTTTCATGGTTTGACCCTGTTCAGGGGAAAATATCAGAACTGAATGCTGAAATGTACGCTGATCCTGATTTTGAAGCGGTTACAGCCGTTTTCGAAGAATCTTTCACAACGGCTGTTGTCACCCGCCAGGCGCCCACCACCCCCGCTGCAGCGGCCAACGCCGTTTGGTTTGATGAAACTGTAACCCCGGTCACCAGTGTCCCTGTTCCTAAGATTACGAACACGCATAATCAAACCTTTTTATGTAATTTGTTTCACAAGTAGGCTCTGGACAAGGACAGACGTACGCGTTTGTGTTCGCCTTTTTCCTTTTTGGCCTCACTCCGATCCGGCCCAGTGAGCACTAAAAAAGCCCCTTACCTATTCCAGGGCAAGGGGCCCAGTGGATGGAACACTGCAGGGGGGTGGGGGGTGGGGGGTTCTATTTTCCGGTCAGGGATTAAAGGGTCATTCCGTCACAGCGCGAGGTGCCAACCAGCTGCCATGCTCGCGATACAGGGGTGGAGTCGGCTGGTACGGAAGTACGGAAGTACTTCTAAGGCTAGGAAGTACTTCTAAGTAGGCTAAGTACGGAAGCCCTGCGAGGGATCAATCGTACATTGGTCGCTTGCCTGACGCCGAAGGCCCCCTGACCCGAATATTTGGCCCCGTATCGGCACCAGAGCCCTCATTGACGCAACAAAACGCGTTGTCGCCACAGATAGTAAGATAATTTACACAGACACTCTACTTTAACTTAATGGACCTCTGGCTGAAATGGAGTGGAGGTACTGGTCCTGGAGGTACTGGTCCTGGAGGTACTGGTCCCGTTCGGTACTGGGGTCCTGACTGATACAATGCATCTTCATTTCTTCAATGAGGACTGCCATTATAAGTGCTCATATCTTATTTCATTTTCAGAAGACCCCGACCAACGTGAGATACGCTCTGGTATTCGGGGCCCCGTCCGCGTCCCCGTTCAGCAAATTTCCCACTGGCCTGCTCGGGGCTCCTTGCCGATACAGAACCCTCTGTTAGGCACCATCGGCTTCTGGCCGACACATGGACCCTCATCGTTCCAGCGGTCTCGAACTCCCGACCAACGCATATCGCGGGTCCCGGCCTTATTCCTGCTTGGAAAATGGGCTCCCAGGGTTCAAACAGACACGGAGCCGACTACCCGGTGTTGGCTGTCTGTGCCCGAAATAGAGGCCCTCATTGTTCCAGGACGTCCCAGGGTGTGTAACTCTTCCACCAGATTTTCACGTAAAAGTGAAGGTCGGCGCATTTCGAGATTCTTCCAAACGTGGACGGCTATGACTTGGCCACGTTTTTGGGTGTCGACCGGTTTCTTCGACCGATTCGATCGGTTCGTTTTCAATTTCCAGTAAAACGCAATGACAAAATAATGCAACTCGCTGCAGTTTGTAGAACATGAAGCATTGCTGAATAATACCAAAATGCTCGGACAATAGCACGACACTATGCTAGAGTCAAACAGACATAATAATCCTGTAAGTAAAAACATGCAGCGCGCAGGAAAAACAAAGAACACTCAAGTCAACATAGCACGAACGTGCAGCTTCAAAAGTGTTGCTGGCTCAAGCAGCAGCACTCGACCTGACATGACATCGGAGTTAACACTTTCCTTGTTCCTTTTACCAGTGATGCAATAAGCGGAAACCCTCTTTAAATTGATATAATTTTGAGTTCCCAATTTGGATGTCCTGCTAGTGCTTAGGCTACAGAAGGTTGGGGGGGGACTTATCGTTGGGAGGTCAAATCGAACATTGAGCGGGGTAGTGGTCCACCCAAAAGAATACAAAGCGACACTCGTGGTTCAACTTACACGGCGTACTTGTGAGGTATTCTTCGGTATGAGCCGCAGCTATTACTTAGTCACTGTGAATGGCAACCATGGGCACACTTCGCAAACAGCTGCTAATGTTGAGGTCAGCGTGAAACGTGATTGTGACATACAGACGAATGCGGTGAGCGTTATAAGCGGCTCCTTTTGTTCCAGTTGCTGGCTGAGCACAGAGAACGGACTGATTTGGGCCTTCGCCGGCCCCCTGCTGCTAGTGATTCTGGTATGATCTTGAACTTCACGCGTACCTATGAGTTTCTCGTGGCGTATGCGAGGAGAGTAGACATAAAATAAACGCTCCTGCATAGACCCGTCAGCACTGTTGATCACCTTCGTCGACAGCACCCGTACGGTTTCTGTGACTGGTGGACATGGTGGTGGATCTGCTCTGTCAGCTGACCATGACCGACTATGACCATGACCATGGCCATGACCATGACCATGACCATGACCATGACCATGACCATGACCATGACCATGACCATGACCATGACCATGACCATGACCATGACCATGACCATGATTGTTAGACATGTCCCTGAGTGTAACCGTTTGTTTCCTGTCGCAGGTGAACATCCTAGTGCTGGTGCTGGCTCTGAGGGTGACCGCGCGTGCCACTGCAGCCCGCTCTAATAAGGACACACGCCAGGTGTCCACTTGGATCAAGGGCTCCGCCTCCCTGGTGGCCATTCTCGGAACTACCTGGCTTTTCGGGTTCCTGTATTTCTCAAACGGTGCGCATTTTTGCGTTTTCATGAGCGCGTAATGCGCGTCAATGCGTCATTAGGCCAGATGCGTCAATGCCTCGTTAGGCCAGCTGCGTCAATGTCAGTTAGGCCATCCGCGCTGTCGTTCTCTCAACTTGCTCGTAGGCCGCATAGCATTACTGTAGCATATTGGCTGCCATGTCATTGCGAGGTGCCAGAACCAAGAAAGATTAATGTATATGGCGCTATCGTATTCCACATCAAACATCATTGCAGAATAATCACCTGTGATTGAAAGGAGTTGATACACACAGCCGTGCACAGAGTGAATATCATCCCTAGGAGGAAAGGAATGGCTTTCCAAAGCCTCCCACCCATCATCGACGATTCATGCTTTTTTTCGCAGGACTCCTGTTCTTCTCAGTCGTCTTTGCATTACTGAACTCCCTGCAAGGCTTCTTTATATTCCTGTTTCACGTAGTTCTCAATGAAAAGAACCGGACAGAAGCTACCCGGTTCATGTGGAAGACAACGGTGAGAAAGCATCCCACATGGTTAACCATTCCAATCTCCTTTTCTTCCTCTGCTGACAAGGTCAGCTGATGGCCCTTCAGCTGACCTGACGGGTCACTTGACCCGGTGCCAGGATAACATGCAACCCAACACACATGGACGGCCTAGATCATAGCACCAGCCTATCCCCAGAACCTGATTTTTTCCCGGATACTTTAAGTTACGTCCTCGATGTTAAAATTGAAAACTAACTTTATTTAATATTTCATAACTTGAAAATTGCTTTGCTGCGAAGGAATGACTTTCCATTTCTAGTTAATATGAGCTTCCTTTTTTATGAAACGCTAAGAATGGGATGCAACTCACACAAAAATCTAGTGACTCTTAGTGAGGGATCACTGATGGCTACCACTGTTGCTGATCGCGCTGGATAACCACCACAGCCACGATTATGCTACAAATACACTTGCCGCTGCTGGAGAAAAGATGCGTTTTCTTTTCTCTGGCCCTCCCTTTACTTCAAGACACTACCGTTTATTGCAGTTAATTGTTCTTTATCCTAATTCAGGTGTGATGATTTAAAACACTTGTCAAACACTTGCGGACTGGTTTAGTATATGAAGAAGTTAGCATGACAAAGCACACTAGGTACCTACAAGATACTATTTAGTAAACAATTAGCATGATGCTAGTAGCGGTACGCTTAGGTTACTACTACCTAGCATCCTAAAAGTTAAGTTCTACATTAGTTTGGCCCAGCATTCCCTGCTTACCCATATGCATTGGAGGCGGAGCTCAAAGGAGCATTGGGGGGCTCAGGTCAGCATTGGAAGGGTTCAGGCCTCCCCGCTGAAATATATAAAGTGCGCCCCCGCCGACAGGGGCCAATATCATAACGTTAAAACGCGAGCTGGCGCATTGTTTATTCACTCCGCATGAATGTGTGTGCGTAGAATAAGCCAATTTTTTAACATATCATTCTGAGGATGGTTTGCCCATTGCAAAATGAATGAACGTTAGGGATTTCCGTTCCACACATGTACGCCATATGGCTCAAAACTGCGTGGATTTATGGTTTTGCTGTATGAAGCAAAAGTAAATCTGAAAGTGAAATGAAATCAGCGTGAAATCTTGTGAGAAAAGTGTCCTTTCAGTGGCATTATTGCTGGATCAGCGCGGTCTGTGTGGGTCATTCATTGAAGTGAACCGAGGTAGCCGTCTGTGCATAAAATAAATTGGGTTGTTGATGCAACTAGTCAGCATCAACAGTAAATCAGCAAATCATTAGCGACTAGATGTTAAGCCGCGTCCGCACTAATCATTGGGACCGGCACCTGGTGCACACACGTGATCCACGCGACGTTACCCACGCGGATGCCCAATAACTGTGGTGACGCCAAACCTTAAGTGGCGTAAGAGGTAGCCCGGCGAGATTCTCGAATCCACAGACTTCACACCAATCTCGCCGTTCAAACACGGGCGACGACTTTCCTCCTGGGAATGTCAGTGAGGCAAGCGGTGGAGCTTGATATGGGAAAGGAAGGCCTGTAGCTCCCGGTTTTTGGCATTATGTGTTCAGAATTCTTATGCTGAGTTATTGATTTTCAGTATGCCGGAATTACTCATTCAGCAGTGCTTCTGCACAAGCACTGGTTAAATTGACAGTGCTCAACGTTTCAAGCTGGGCTCGAGATCACGGGGTCAGCATCTCGTGGTTATAGGCCTCGCTTGAGTCACCGAGTATCGTCGATATAACCTATGTTTACACTGTGACGTCGTTTAACCAATATCTCCAGGTATATTGGAAGTCGACAACTCAGCACCAGAACTCTGAGCTCATTGCGGGGAAACTTTCGCAGCGAAAAGTCACTGTCTCCAAGCGCCGCTCAACATCAGCGTCTGCGACGAGTTTGAGCGTACAGTGAGATGCGTCTCAGACGTCACCGGCCACCGGGCCCTGTTGACCGGTGGTGCGGCCTCCACCCGCAGAGGCGCGCGGGACTGTCGAGGCGGGATCCGAGGATCGCCACGGGGGCCACCACCACCGGCCGGACGTCCCGCGAGCCGGTCACCGGTGAGACCACCGACGGCGACTCGGACCACCAGTCATCCGTCAAGCAGAAGACCCGGCTGACCCGGTTGCTGCAGCGAGGTGAGCGGTGGCTGCTGGAGGGACGCGTGGCGAGTGTTGGGTGTTGGGGGACGCGTGTCAAGTGGTGGCTGCTGGAAGGACGCGTGGTGAGTGGTGGCTGCTGGAGGGACGCGTGGCGAGTGGTGGCTGCTGGAGGGACGCGTGGTGAATGTTGGGTGTTGAGGGACGCGTGTCAAGTGGTAGCTGCTGGAGGGACGCGTGGTGAGTGTTGGGTGTCGGGGGACGCGTGTCGAGTGGTGGCTGCTGGAGGGACGCGTGGTGAGCGGTGGCTGCTGGAGGGACGCGTAGTGAGCGGTGGCTGCTGGAGGGACGCGTGGCGAGTGTTGGGTGTTGGGGGACGCGTGTCGAGTGGTTGCTGCTGGAGGGACGCGTGGTGAGTGTTGGGTGATGGGGGACGCGTGTCGAGTGGTAGCTGCTGGAGGGACGCGTGGTGAGTGTTGGGTGTCGGGGGACGCGTGTCGAGTGGTGGCTGCTGGAGGGACGCGTGGCAAGTGTTGGGTGTCGGGGGACGCGTGTCGAGTGGTAGCTGCTGGAGGGACGCGTGGCAAGTGTTGGGTGTCGGGGGACGCGTGTCGAGTGGTGGCTGCTGGAGGGACGCGTGGCAAGTGTTGGGTGTCGGGGGACGCGTGTCGAGTGGTAGCTGCTGGAGGGACGCGTGGTGAGTGTTGGGTGTCGGGGGACGCGTGTCGAGTGGTGGGTGCTGGACGGACGCTAACCAGTGGACATTGGCACTATTCGTTACTGATAGGTTTCCGAGCACGCGCTAGGCATCCTAACTCGTTGGCATGTGGTGTGTAATGCTCCTCTCACCAAGGAGCGGTGAGTGGTGGACCCCTGAGACACATGGTGAGTCTCAGATAGGACGTAGTGGGGCGTGGGCTCCTGGCGACACACGTGAACCAACGTGCGCGCCACACCCTCAAGCCGTGATATTTAGTGGAGCAACACCAGCTATATGATCTCAAGGGTTCTGTAGGTGTGTAGAGGCAGCGCCATGCACTGCGCCGTACAGATGCATTTGTTCCAAAATGTCTACCTACCGCTGTCTACCGCACTTCTCACGGATAAGGCAAGGCGTATGAGCAGTGTTTGTGCATTAGCTTACCGCTCGTTGGGCGGCATGGTCCTCAGCGTTGGACATTTGGTGGGCTCAGCCCGTCCCAGGGTCTGGTCCGGTCTGTCAGGCGGTGCTCCAGTCTGGACTCGTACGCCAGACTGTTATGTGGCCCGACATCGTGTGTCAGGCCGCGTGTAGCCAATAACCTGACTTCGTGTGTCACGCTCCGCTACAGTCTGACCTCGTGTGTCACGGTCCGCTACAGTCTGACGTGTGTCATGTTCCGCTGGAGTCTGACCTCGTGTGTCATGTCCCGCTACAGCCTGACTTGGTGTGTTTACTGCGCCGCAGTCTGACCCCGTGTGTCAGGCTGCTCTGCAGCCCGACCGTAAGCTGACACCTATCTCTCACCTCCGCAGCGGGCAACAAGAAATACTCGGTGCGACGAATCGATGATGAGAGCCTCTCGTCCGGGATGACCAGCCAGGATAAGCTGCGGCGAGTCGAGTCCAATGGTGTCAGTGCCTGAGTCACCGACGCCGAGTCGTGTCGACGCAGGACGATCATGTATGACATGCGCGTGATGACGCGCCTCAACCATGGTGTTTGGCGAAAGAGGTTCATGGCAGACGGTCTCACTTTGACCTCATCGGAAATGACCGGACCGGACATTTTTCCGAAGACGCACGGAAGAGACGACGAATAGTACAATCGATTCGGCCACGCGTAAGTCATGGTATTCTGCTTTAGACGGATATGCCGTTTCAAAAAAAGAAATTCATTAGAAGTGATGGCTATGTCCTAAGACGCCCTTTTAGATGCTATGCCAACGCCACCGACCACAAGGACACCAACAAGTAATTCACGCCAAATTTATGGGCAGACCATTTGTACTTCTTTGTGAGTACTGCGCAACTCCTTATCGCTGATATTTTAGGGCGCACGTGAACTTAAAGTACTTTGTATTTGCTATGGTACAACTTCAAATGACCGCGACTCGCGATAGACCGTTTAGACAGTATTAAGTGATAAGTTAGCGTAAGTCCGAACGTGTCAGGTAGTAAGTGTATTTTTACAAGACATGACTGGAAAATGCTGCGAGCTGCTTCGTGCCAAGGGTTTCAAAGGGGCCTTAACCCCTCGCGGCAGCTCGCCAGATAGACAGTCCAGCACTAACAGAATAAGAGGCCCGCTGCCATCGCAGGAAACGGCTACCAGGAAGAGCGCCAGGGGTACTCTGTGTAGGGCGCATATTGTTCAATCGTGCAAGCATTCAGCGTAGCTTGAAATGAACAGGCTTTGTGATTTGCTGTTGCTTGCTTCTTTGCGTATGTGTATGGCTGTAAATGTACGTAAAACAGGAACAGAGCTGTTGTTCCATCGCCTGGGCACTCCATTCGTGTACATGTGTGGGTCTGCGCTTACCAAAAGAGCAAATAAAGATAAGGTAAACGCTACAAGTAAGGACATTTTTGCAGAGGCATGATTGTGTGAAGCGTTTAAGAACATCATCAATTCTTTCGCGAATTTGATTGAACTTTCATGACTAAAATCGTCTGAACATGACACATCTCTTGCAAAACAAGTACGCCTGAGTTGGAAAACACTTCTAGTGACAATTGGCCCCGGAATATCCATAATCTGACTGATGTCTCTACATTTGTCGTATTGTTGGCTTCGGGATTGTTGGAGGAATTTTTCGGCCTTTTCGGAAATTTCAGATGTTTTTGTCGGAAATGTGCTGGTCTAGCTTCTGTTAGTGGGAATTGAGAATTTCCAGTCATCAATGAGCCACCTCCAGCGTGGTGAAACGAGCTTGGTGATGAGAGATTTGAATGGCATCATGCAGGTCGTGTCAAGATGCATGTACATGGAATCAGTGACGTCTGATATCCGGTACAAATAGACAAAAATAATAATAAAAACGTTTGTGCTGACTGAGAGTAACTGACCAGGGCATTGTAAAAAGGCAGACTTTCCAGACCTTCAGGTAGACAGAGGACTGCAAACCCAGCGAACTGAGCTACACGACTACGTAGTTCTCCCGGCCCTAGTTCGCACAACTTGACCTCTAGCGCGTGACATACCAGACCGGGCCCAACTGCCCGCTATTTCCTCGCTTCACTCTTGACCGCACAGTCCTGGGCTCGCTTGCTGTTTTTGATAAAAATCCGTCAACTTTTAGAACCTTGCCAATATCACGTTCCCGTGCTAATCAAGCAAAAAAGGCGGAATTGCGGTGGCGCTGTGGTACTGCAGAAAACCTCCAGCCGATGGGCGACTTTATGCAGATATCTTGAAATCACTACAGCACAGCCGTTACAAAATCACGTTAATTCCTACTGACAGTGCTAAAACCGTGTAGCGGTACAGTCAGAAGCTGCAAGGACTTCTGTTATGGACACTGGTCGGACGATTTGTATCTTCAAGGATAATTTCAACCTCAATGAGTGGGTCAAACTGGGCAACGGGTACCGAACCCGCGATTCGCACGCAAATTCTACCATTCCAGCAAACTGTGACTCGGACTTTACTCTGACTCGGTCTTTACCTGAATTCTACTTTTCTAGCAACCTGTGACCCAGACTTTACTCTGACTCCGTCTTTACCTGAATTCTAATATTCCAGCAAACTGACTCGGTCTTTACCCTGACTCGGTCTTTACCTGAATTCTACTATTCCAGCAAACTGTGACTCGGTCTTTACTCTGACTCGGTCTTTACCTGAATTCTACTTTTCCAGCAACCTGTGACTCGGGCTTCACTCTGACTCGGTCTTTACCTGAACTACACTATTCCAGAAACCTGTAATTCGGTTTTTACTCTGACTCGGTCTTAACCTGAATTCTACTATTCCAGCAACCTGTGATTCGGTCTTTACTCTTACTCGGTCTTTACCTGAATTCTACTATTCCAGCAACCTGTGATTCGGTCTTTGCTCTGACTCGGTCTTTATCTGAATTCTACTATTCCAGCAGCCTGTGACTCGGTCTTTACTTTGATTTTCATTTCAGATGCAGTCGCCACTGAATAGCAAATTATTGTAGCAAAACTCGTGCATTTAACTGTGATAGATATACTTTCGATTTGGTGTGGATGTATATTTTGTACACCGGTGTACCCATAGATATGTTGGTACGTGTGTGAGTTATACCCAACGCATAAGCTTTTCTTGGTAAGAAGGTGCGTTCATGCTCGGCTGATTTCGGTGGGCCCGAGTCCGAGTTATTTTGGGCTCGGTCACGTAAAATTGCACATCGTGCACTAAAACTACGCAAAAACATTAGTAAGATATTCAATTTGATAAAGCCTAAGGGTAAGGGGCAACTGCGTTCGATGCAGACTTCCACCATATTACATCATGTAGGCACATTTGAAAATGGGGGAAGGGGAGGGCCAAGTGAGTTTAAAGGGGCGCCATTTGTCTGCGGATGTAACTAGATAAATAGTGACTTCTGTCCTATTCAAAGCAAACGGCTTAAATAGTTTTAGTTGTCTATAAGCTCCACGTTAATTTATCTCGTATGTCATAATACACGCATCTGTCAGAAGACATTTCTGCGATGAAATGTTTCCTCTCAAACTTTCGGACATTGCATGACTCCCAGTTAGCTTCTAATCTCGTTTCGCACAAAACTGGGATTAAAAAGGGAGGTGAAAAATTATCTGTTTTGCATCGATTGGCCGTCCCCGTATGTCGGAAAAGTATACTCATCGTTGCGCGAGCTTTGCGCTATCTTTTCAAGGCCCATCATCATGACCCCTTGGCCCGTGAACTCTGCGCGCCATGTTTCCCCTTAGACACCCGAAAGGCGTCTCCCCACCAACTGTCAAAACACACCCTCTTCTTGCCCGCTAGTAACTCCTTCGATTTCAACAAAACTTGCGCCGTCGAGAGATCAAGGTGTCTTGGTACGTTACGCAAACGTGTTTTATTGCGCACCAAACGCCCCCGTTGTAAAGCGGTAAACCGTTAGATACCGACAAACATGATAATTGATACAGGCTATCCGATAATCCGCGGAGCATCGAAAGCCGTGTCAGCTCCGGATGTCACCGGATAATCCGCGGGGCATCAAAAGCCGTGGCAGCTCCGGATGTCACCGGATAATCCGCGGGGCATGAAAAGCTGTGTCAGCTCCGGATGTCACCGGATAATCCGCGGGGCATGAAAAGCCGTGTCAGCTCCGGATGTCACCGGATAATCCGCGGGGCATGAAAAGCTGTGTCAGCTCCGAATGTCACCGGATAATCCGCGGGGCATGAAAGGCTGTGTCAGCTCCGGATGTCACCGGATAATCCGCGGGGCATCGAAAGCCGTGGCAGATCCGGACGTCACGGGAAATACCAACGATGTCCCATATCATTCCAATTATAGGACATCATCCCCGATACTGCTAATTGTAGCACATCTGGCTGAATAAGCAGAGTAAACTGACATGATGCAGCTGGGCTGCTGCGCACAAACTACACCGAAGATTTCAGGTTGTGTATGCTAGCCGAACCAGAGGGACCGGCGATATGTCAGGCATGCGCATGGTGACTTTGCACATGGTGACCTTGCGCAAGCAAGTAAGATGACACCTCTCAACAGTACATGTGATGTCGATGCAAATTTCCATTTCAGTTTGCCATTTCTCTGCAGTAAGGCGAAAACGCACACGCTATCCTGGATGTTCCACAGCTGTAAGTCTTCGATGGGATATGTGGGATATTAATTAGAATGTTGTCTGATATGGGATATTGGCATGTGGCATAACGTTATGTGGGGTACTGATAAGTGGGACATTGATACGTGGATTATTGATGTGTGGGATATTTATCAACCAGTGGAATATGTAAGCTGTTTGATACATTTGACCAGAAATTGATCAGTTTCAAACATCTATGAGTGTATCTTTTGAAGTGTCATTCGATGTACAATGTCATAAGGATAACGGCTGTCTGGAAAGGTGTCATATATGCTCGTTTGTGAAAGGTCATCACGCAACCTAACGTCATCCCAGCCCTGATTTGTTTAGCACACTTTTTCGCAGTAGAACCTCGATGTAGTTTAAGTGCAAATTCCTTTCAAATAGCCTTAGATCAGTTTCAGCATGTCACTTCACTCTGCTTATCCAGCATGATACCTTATAGGTGCCAACGTCGGACAACAATGTCGTCTTCGGTGACCTCTAGAGGTCACAGTTTTCAATTCCCCGCGAAAAGCCCAGAGATGCCCTCGTTGTCTCAGACGTACTATAATTGCAGTTATGTTAAAGGAAATCGAGGGGAGGACAGTTCGTCGGATCTCTGCTCACGTAATGTCTGTCGATCTGTTTGGAGGACGACTATTTTGAGGTTATTTTGGAGCGTGCATGACGTTCTGGATGGGATGGCTATAACGTTTATCATGTTTGGTGGTGATATACCGAATGGGGATAGACCAAATGGTGTTACGGCGCACTCTGAACAGTCTGATGGCCTGCTCCGAACATGGCGTTACAGCGCACTCTGAACAGTCTGATCGCTTGCTCCGAACATGGAAGCGGGTCGCACTTACCGCCTTATCCTTGGGATAGTCTAAGCTTATGCGCCGTCATTGAACAGCAAAACAGCCCCGTTTGGCGTAAAAGGTACTCCATAAACCGCAATATCCAAGATGACATCGCCCAAATGCCTTGTTATGCAGAGGATGGCATAACTCATTGAAACCAAAATAGCCGGGCCAAAACCGCCTTCGGCCGGACGGCACATGGGCGGCCATGTCTAGCAAGTTCCCAGTTAAGTACACATCGCTATCATGTTTATGTTCAGCACAGCTAATGCACTCCTTCTGGAACTGGAATTCAGGGAAATTCGATACGGAGGTGTGGATTGTATGCCCTTGGTCAAGGAGATGGCGGTTTTTGATGACGACATGACTATTGGTAGGCAAACAAGTACTAGATAGACGATAATCATCGTGACCCGCAATCAAGCGCACGACTGCCACAGGCGAATCACAAGGTGGCGTGTCCTGTACGGCTTCCAATCTTTTTTTTTTGGTAAATTTCGCCACCATGCCATCCTAAATTTCGTTTTGCTGCGAATGTAGGCTTTAAAAGAAACTTTAGACTTTTAGACAGTTGATTGGTTTCATTTCAACCAGCTAGACATGAGACACCATTTGAGTGTTTTGCTGCATCGTCGATATCGTTATGGGCCATATTTTCGGCAATGTTCCTGCTGTTTACATCAGCTGAAAATATTGTATATGTATTTCAAAATGAAGTGTGACGTACTTCAGGCACTGACGTTAAAATCAATTGAGTGCATTTCTACAAAGACTTGTAAATCAAGACTCAAGATGTGTTCCCATTTTGGTGTTGATGTCTCTGTTAAGTTATCATTGGTAGCAGTAAGCAAACATTAAGCATCACGCAATTGCTTGCCTGCTGTAGGAAAGCTTCCAATTTCAGCACACACGATATATCATTATACCTTTATAAGCCAAACTCGTCAAAAAGCCTGCGTGGAGTATGAAGAGACCCAACGTTTGAGTTCCGACGGCACCCAATGTAGCCAACAATGCATATTCTGAGCATCTCTTCTGTCTTCATGGTCGCATTCACTTTCAGTCTCCGCACGCTCTCTTTTCTTGTATTTTCTCTTTCTTGTATATTCTCTTGTTACGGAGCGCGCGATCAGCCGATTCCATGTCTCGCTATCTGTTTTCTACGGTGAGAGGAAACACTCAGCCATGGATCAACCTTGACGCAATCACACATGTGCTCCAGTAGCTCATCGGGAATCAAACATCATCAGGCTGGGCATAATCATCAGGCATCATCAGGCATCATCAGGCATCAAACATCAAACAGCATCATATCAGGCTGCATCATCAGTCATTCGTAGTATCAAATTCTGACCCAGCTGCACTATTGTTTCTGTTTCTGTTTCCGCTCATCCAACCAGTCCTCCGAATTTCTCGATGCGCTTCTTCGGTCGCATATGTGCCTACTGTCACCTAGTTGACGATAGCCTTGAGAGGAGACCCTGGCGCGGGATCAGATCTGGATTCGAATTCGCGCCTCGCTCTAAATTCCCGCCTGGCTCTAAAAGATCACACTATCTCGCTGTAGTGCTTCTAGTTTCCGCCGGGAGTCGGCCGCCGGGTCACGACCGCCCTCAGGAAATCAAACGTGGGACTCCCTGACTGTCGACGCTCCGTGACGCGACCTAAGCTGTCGCACACTCGTCACAGCACCGGTCACGCAAGGCCTAGCAGTTTAGAATGATTGCGAAACCAATGGACGATACCACTCACAGTCCGCGGCAACAGCGAGGGAAGATACCAGTCACAGTCCACGGCAACAGCGGGGGACGATACCAGTCACAGTCCGCGGCAACCACGGGGGAAGATACCAGTCACAGTTCACGGCAACAGCGAGGGACGATACAAGTCACAGTCCGCGGCAACCACGGGGGACGATGCCAGTCACAGTCCACGGCAATAGCGAGGGACGATTCCAGTCACAGTCCACGGCAACCGCGGAAGACGATACCAGTCACAGTCCACGGCGACCGCGTAAGACGATACCAGTCACAAACCGCAGCAACCACGGGGGACGATGCCAGTCACAGTCCGCGGCAACCACGGGGGACGATGCCAGTCACAGTCCACGGCAACAGCGAGGGACGATTCCAGTCACAGTCCACGGCAACCGCGGAAGACGATACCAGTCACAGTCCACGGCGACCGCGTAAGACGATACCAGTCACAAACCGTGGCAACCACGGGGAACGATGCCAGTCACAGTCCGCGGCAACCACGGGGGACGGTACCAGTCACAGTCCACGGCAACAGCGGGAGACGATACCAGTCACAGTCCGCGGCATCAGCGGGGGATGATACCAGTCACAGTCCACGGCGACCGCGTAAGACGATACCAGTCACAGTCCGCGGCAACAGCGAGAGACGAGTGACGTCAATGTCAGCAGCCCGGGCCACTCTGAGCCGGCCGGTAGCATGCGGCCAGGTCAGCGCCTGGTGACCTCGCAGGTTTGCCGACGCCATGCGACAACACCGACCGGCGTGCTGATCTGGCGGGTCTGCAGGCACCACGCGACAGCACTCACCTGCATGCTGACCTGACAGGTCTGCAGGCACCGCGCGACAGCACTGACCTGTCTGCTGACCTGACAGGTCTGCAGGCACCGCGCGACATCACCGACCTGCATGCTGACCTGACAGCTCTGCAGACACCGCGCGACCGCATCGACCTGTCTGCTGACCTGGTGGAAACTACGCGATGGTGCGACTCTGCCGCTTTGGGCTCAAGTTGGACGCAGGCTGCCTTCGTCAAAACGCTAAGCAGATAGGGTGTTTCGAAATTCTCCACACAGGCAGGGTGTTCTGAAGTTCTCCACTCGGGCAGGATGCTCCGACGTGCTCCGCACAGACGCTTCTACGGTCCAAAATCCGGAAGCAAACGTGAATCAGCTGCATCTTCGGCATGCAGGCCATTTCTCAGTATCGTAAAGGCCTATTCGTGATCGCCGCTGTACTGCTAATTGCCAAAAGGCTCTCTGCAAGTATTGTAAATATGACGATGAAATAGACAGTACCACTCATTTGTCGGCAAAAATGTCATCCGACTGGCGCAAAGCGAGAGCGATCAATGCATACACAAATGCAGGTTCCAGTTTTCGTTCTCGCCAGTGTAAATCGGTGAGATCGGGAAATGCATAAGTGCCTGAGTTAATCGCATTGTATCCAAAGACACCAGAGGCCCTCAAAACAGCTGAGACACAATTCTACGCTTGCCGATGAGTTGGCTGTGTGGTCGTTGCACTGTTAATTCCATGTGATAGTCCACTAAAAACAAAGTGGCTGCAGTCGTTTGAATGAGTCTGCTGCAGATCAAGTAGTTGAGGTTATGACGCTCAGCTTGATGTTGGTAATCTCGCAAGGGCCTGCTGCGTCCGACTGGTGTCTAACATATCCGCCTTGGCTTAAATGAAGCACCCAACATGCAGCTTGCTACGAGACTCGAACCCAATGGTGAATACCATGCATTTATATGCCAAACGTCAGCTTGTGAGAACTGGCCCTTGAACAGCGTCTGACCATTTTGAGCCTTCTTACATTGCTTACCTATATCAACTAATTTTCATGAGGCTGGAAACAACCTCCAGGTCAGATTTTAAGCCCATTGTAGCGGTAACAGTAGTAATAGGGTCCTTCGGGTGCTTCGGCCGCGTGGTCCTATCGCGCCCAAAGCCCAGTGTGGTGACGCAGGCGTGGAGGCCTCCAGACTGGTGTCGCACTCGTCCGTAACGGTGCGGTGACAGTTGGCCAAAGGACCGACGTCTGCGAGCGCGACCGCGTCATGAGATTACCCGGCACGTAGAGAAGCTGTCCGCGAATACCGTCTGCTGGACCGTAGTTACTCCTCTGAGGAGTGGGATCTTCACAACAATGTATGCTCGCCGGAACTCTGGTGTCAAATCTCTAATTTCAAATATGATCTCTGATTTCGCGCCTTCGACGCAGACATTCGGTGAACTTTGTGTATAAAGAATATGTAGGAGGGCTAAATTCATTATTTCTAACCTACCAGCGTCGTTTAATCTGTGACAGATAATTCATTTGGTGTACAATGGCACTAATATAATAACTTGACCTACGGAACCCCCATTCCGTGGGGGGGGGGGAGAAAAGCGCTCGTTGGCGAGGGTTAGGCTTGCTTTTGTGGGGCCAGGCGTAGGCTGAGAGTTTGGTAGCTCGACAAGTACACTTCAATGCAATCATATGAAGCTAAAATGAATGCCGTTGAACGATGTCACCGTGTGCGGGGAAACGAGTAGCCATACTGCATGTGCACTAAGCGTTTACGAAAATTGGCTTTACAGGGTATTAGGCAGACTTGCACTCGGCGCAGCACCCACTCTGCGTTAAACCTATTCTGTAGTCCAGCCTGTACGGATCTGGCAGTGACATTGTGCGCGCGCCTGGGATCCCGAGGCACGGGGTTCGATTCCCCACGGCACCCGCTGTTCCTGGCAGGGTGAGAAGCGGGCGACACCATGAAGCCCCAGCTGTTGAATGCGTCACAAGGCACCAATGACGACGACGATCAGTGCCACTGCGAAGGGGCAGGCCAGGTCAGTAGACACACCTGCTTCATCTACAGGCTGGGTGCCACTCTCCGAGATTACCAGCAGGAGCGCCATCTCTAATGACCCGAGCTGATCCTCCTCTCCCAGCTGGTCACCTAAAGGTTAAATGCACAGTCTAGGAGAGCAGATCACGGCGACACTGAACACAGGTCGCACCGGGGCGGGCCGATAAGGCGCTTGTGTACAGTGACATGCCTAGTGCATGTCATGCGACATGTCCAGTATATGTTAGGGGCAACTGCCCTCCGAATGTTCAGATCAGTGCCAGAGTTGACCGGATTGCCAAGTATTTGTGGGATCGCTCACTGCATCCCTGCATGACTATACCCTTGCTACCTGCAAAGCCGGCTAGGAGAGGAATGGTACACGAGCCTTGGCGTTCATGTAAGCAGTATTGTCACTTCAAACAAACCCACAGCGTAGTAGAGAGCGTCACAAATCGGCTTATGATGCCTAATGTGTCAATGTGTATGCTACAAAATTTTACAAAATTGCGTTCAAAAAAATCTGAAACCGGCTACAGACTTCGGCCATAGGATGCAGCAGGTAACCAACGAGCAATCTTATTTTTTTCCAGGGGGCTGTTAGGTAGCTACGTTCCGAACGGTTCAACATAGGTTAAGGACACAATTTTGTATGCGTGGGTACGAGTGCTTGAAGTATGTACACAGTTACCCGTGCACAAATGTAAGTAGAAGCAAGTACGCAGCTTGTTTTCACGCAAAAGGTCAGAAGCAAATGTTCGTATGGTATGAATTACCGATGCAAAATATTCGTATTCAGCAAATTTCGTTGGGATAAAAGATCGTTTGGAACAAGCTCATATGAGTAAAGTGCATACGCAGTCGACCTATTGTACGCACACAAGGGTTCGGAACGGATAAAGTTCACTTGTAAAAGGCGCGTATGCAAACGTTCATAGACACTAGTCACACCGCGGAGTTTTGCCATGCCAAGCGAGCCAGGCTGTGAGGGATGAATTCGGAAATTGACTAACCACGTCTAATCCGTAGTTATTCCCAAAAAACCGTCGAAGCCTACAATAGACTTGGGCCTTGAGATTACTCAGTGACAAGGCACCAAGCACATTTTAGTAGGGGAGGGGGGGGGAGGGGGCGTAGGCTTTTGCGGCCGGAACGGTTTACCATTCGCCACCTCGATGTCAGCCGAATAATGCACATCGTCCTCGAAATGCCTCACTGTTCTCACTCGCCGCCACATCCTAAAATTCTTGCGACATTTCATCTGTTGTGGAATAAATTCGCAGAAACAAGAAAGCAAAATGACACAACACGGCTTTCACCGGTCAGAACCCTGGCGTGCGGCGCCGTTCGGCAGGCTAAAGCCGCAGGTAAGGGCGTGGCCGGGGCGCGGATGAGCTCAGCTCCTGGCACCGCGTCGGTCGCAGCGGCGATGGTCGCAATGCTGAGCCACACACACAGCCATCATCCACTGCCGCGTGCGGCGTCCGGCGCCGCGGCGGGCGGTTCCTGTCGGAGCCGGACCGACCGGCGGTGTCACCGCCTCCGCCCCTGGCGGCCGCGGTCGGTCAGGACGCCACCGCGTGCGGCGTCCGGCGCCGTGGCGGGCGGCTCTTGTCGGAGCCGGACCAACCGGCAGTGACACCGCCTCCGCCCCTGGCGGCCGCTGTCGGTCAGGACGCCACCGCGTGCGGCGTCCGGCGCCGCGGCGGGCAGCTCTTGTCGGAGCCATATCAACCGACGGTGTCGCTGCCTCCGCCCGTGGCGGCCGCGGTCGGTCAGGACGCCACCGCGTGCGGCGTCCGGCGCCGCGGCGGGCGGCTCTTGTCGGAGCCGGACCAACCGGTGGTGTCACCGCCTCCGCCCGTGGCGGCCGCGGTCGGTCAGGACGCCACCGCGTGCGGCGTCCGGCGCCGCGGCGAGCGGTTCCTGTCGGAGCCGGACCAACCGACGGTGTCGCTGCCTCCGCCTCTGGCGGCTGCGGCTGGTCAGAACGCCGCCGCGCGCCAGCTGACGGGCGTCACTTCGTCGTTCACGCGACGCGCGCGAGAGGCGAGGCGGCACCGGCAGCAGGACTGGACTCGACTCGAGCATGGCGTGAGCGAGCAGACCAGCTTGCTGGGCGGCGTCCCCGGTAGCGACTGCGAGGCGCGCGCAAAACGCGAGCGGCCGCGGGACGCCGGGCCGGCCGACGCCGCCGGCTCGCCCCTGTCGTTCAATCGCCAGCAGAAAGTGCTGCTGGCCTGCCTGTGCGCCGGCAGTCTGATGGGCGGCTGTCCGGTAGCCCTGATGATCCCGTTCTTCCCGCTGGGGGCGCGCCGGCGCGGCGTCTCGCAGACGGTGACAGACGCTGTGTTCAGCTGCTTCGCGCTGGCACAGCTGGTGGTGTACCCGCTGACGGGCCGCCTGGTACCTCGCGTCGGAGCCAGCCGCAGCTACAGCCTTGGACTGGTGCTGGCCGGTGTCTCGACCGTGGCCTCCGGCGTGCTGCCACTGATCGACAGCACACGCGCCTTCATCGCCGCCTGCTTCGTGACGCGCGTGGTGGAGGCGGTGGCGATCAGCGCGCTCAACACGGCCGCGCTCACCGTCGTCGCCAACAAGTTCCTGGAGCGCACCAACACGGCCGTCGGCATCACTGAGACGATGACGGGCGTCGGCATCTCGCTCGGTCCGGCCATCGGCGGCGGCCTGTACCAGCTGGGCGGCTATGGGCTGCCGTTCTACGTGCTTGGCGTGCTGATGCTGACGTGCGCCGGACTCACGGCGCTGCTCATGCCGTCTGTGGGCAAGCCGGTGCGGCGGACCCACGCCTGCCCCTGGCCTACGCTGCGGGTGTTCGCCGGCTCCGCCGAGGTCCGGCTGTGCTGCGTGATGCTGCTGACCGTCTCCATCAGCTGGACGGCCATCGACCTAAGCATCGAGCCGTACGTGGTTGTTGCAATCAGCGTCACACCCGCGCAGCTGAGGCTCTACTTCCTGGCGGTCGCCTGCGCTTGCATCCCCTTCAGCGCGGTCTGGGGGCGCGCGCACGACTCCGTGCATAACACCCATGCACTGACGACACCGTGCATAGTGGGCGCGGCGCTCGGGCTCCTGCTGCTGGCGCCGTCGCCGCTACCGTACGGTCTGCGGCCCTCCTGGTGGCTGCTCGGAGTCGGCTGGACCATCAAGGAGATCTCGCAGCGCGGGGCTTTCATCCCGCTCTTCAGCAGGATCTTAAAGACCTGTCTGACAAGCGGACTCGGAGATACTGTTGTGACACAGTTGTTTGTGTCCAGCGTATTTTGGACGGTGTTCTCCGTAGGTAATGTGATGGGATCCACTGTGGGTGGCATGATCTTCGATGTGACCAGCTTTCCGGTGCTGGCGACGGTGCTGGCCGGTTGGACGCTGCTGGTGGCCGCGGCGTCGGGTACCCAGGCGTTCAGGGTACACCTCGAGTCGCGCTCCTCCAGCAGCTCGGCCGCCACGCCCGATGGAGCCGAGTAAAGCCTGAATGGTCCCGAACATCGTGCAACATTCTCTCTGAGAGAGAAATGAGAGGTGACTGACTTCTGAGCCGAAAGCTTCGTGTCACATTTACGAACAATCGAATGTCCGCTCTGACCAAGGATATATCGCATCGCCTGTTTCCCTGTCCGGAGTGTTATCAGGGTCAGTGTTGCCTTTACCCCTGCCCGGAGTGCTGTCACGGCCGGAGATTATCAGGGTCAGTGTTGTCTTTACTCCTGCCCAAAGTGCTGTCACGGCCGGAGATTATCAGGGTATGTGTCGCCTTTACTCCTGCCCAAAGTGCTGTTACGGCCGGAGATTATCAGGGTCAGTGTCGCCTTTACTCCTGCCCAAAGTGCTGTTACGGCCAGAGATTATCAGGGTCGGTGTTGCCTTTACTCCTGCCCAAAGTGCTGTTACGGCCGGAGACTATCAGGGTCAGTGTTGTCTTTACTCCTGCCCAAAGTGCTGTCACGGCCGGAGATTATCAGGGTCAGTGTCGCCTTTACTCCTGCCCGGAGTGCTGTCACGGCCGGAGATTATCAGGTTCAGTGTCGCCTTTACTCCTGCCCGGAGTGCTGTTACGGCCGGAGATTATCAGGGTCAGTGTTGCCTTTACCCCTGCTCGGAGTACTGTCACGGCCGGAGATTATCAGGGTCAGTGTTGCCTTTACCCCTGCCCGGAGTACTGTCACGGCCGGAGATTATCAGGGTCAGTTTTACCTTTACTCCTGCCCGGAGTACTGTCACGGCCGGAGATTATCAGGGTCAGTGTCGCCTTTACTCCTGTCCAAAGTGCTGTCACGGCCGGAGATTATCAGGGTCAGTGTTGCCTTTACTCCTGCCCAAAGTGCTCTCACGGCCAGAGATTATCAAGGTCAGTGTTGCCTTTGCCCCTGCCCAAAGTGCTGTCACGGCAGGAGATTATCAGGGTCAGTGTTGCCTTTACCCCTGCCCGGAGTACTGTCACGGCCGGAGATTATCAGGGTCAGTGTTGCCTTTACCCCTGCCCGGAGTACTGTCACGGCCGGAGATTATCAGGGTCAGTGTTGCCTTTACTCCTGCCCAAAGTGTTGTCACGGCCGGAGATTATCAGGGTCAGTGTCGCCTTTACTCCTGCCCAAAGTGCTGTCACGGCCGGAGATTATCAGGGTCAGTGTTGCCTTTACTCCTGCCCAAAGTGTTGTCACGGCCGGAGATTATCAGGGTCAGTGTCGCCTTTACTCCTGCCCAAAGGGCTGTCACGACCGGAGATTATCAGGGTCAGTGTTGCCTTTACTCCTGCCCAAGGGGCTGTCACGGCCGGAGGTCCAGCTGCGGACCCCGTCACATCGAGAAACGGCGTGGATGACTGAAACGCGGTGGCTGTGAAGATCAGGAATGCGATTTATAATGTGTCCATATGCGAGGGGAAATGCCGAGCAGTGACTCCCGCGGGTGCAGGCTCGGGTCAGAGCGTTCACGTCTTTTTTTCATGTGCCGGCATGTCTCCGACATAAATTGTTTTGATTGCTGTCTTCAGTCCTACTCCCCACATCCTGCTGGCTTCCGCCGGCATGGGCGCAGGGACATTTGCCATACGACTTGTCCAAGATTTAAATGGTCTTGCGGTCTATGCAATGTAATAAGCTTACTTTTTAAGATGGCGAAAGTTTAACGCACCCTAATGCACGTACCGTGCCGAACATTGCAGTACACTGAACTTCGCCGCCAAATTCTGCCGTTTTACTGGAATTGCGCGATCGGATGGTAAGGGTCAGGGCTCACACAACAAGCGCTGCTTAGCGTGAGCCCTGATCCCAGAAATCCATCCATTCAAAAGGTTCCAATTTAAGTAAAAAAGCTTACCGCCACACCGCAATTATCCCAGCTGTCGCTGGACTTTTACGCTCTTCATTTTATCTTACGCTCTTCGCATCATGACGAAGGCATTCTAGTGACGCTGAGTCCTTTTCCCATCTCGGCACATCACCCCAGCGCAAAGCCTATGTACAAACAATTGGACTTCGCCGTGTAGATGATGCAGCCATATGTGACAGACAGATGCACCTGGCTGTTTGAGGACCACTGAAGACTTCTTGTAACAAAAAGTCGGCATCACGGGGGTTTGTAACCAAGCTATGCGTGGCTTATGCGTGGCTATGGCTTTCCGCATGAAGTAGTCCGTTGCCAATCCTGGGCCTTCTCGGCCCCTTTTCCAAGGCTCTGGCTGCGCACCAGCTGTCAGTAAATTGCGGCTTACTATTGAACACTGTTTAGGTAGGCTGTACCGCGATCAAAGGTTCTACAAAGTTCAGTTTGCATCTTGATCCAATCATTTTGTGCCAAATTCCTGAAGGCTGAATTGCAATTTACAAGTCATTTGTATTGATGTTATTGGCTGCTTTTTTAAATCTGATTAATCTTTGATTCAAAACTAAAGAAAAACGATCAGCTACAGCTATCAAACTTGACAACAGCAAAAATCAAATATTGGCCTGCACAAATGGGCCGCTCTGACGCCGCTCACGCAACCGTAACGGCAGCGCATAAAGCCATTAGACTCAACCCCAGTCATCGGCCCCAGCTTTTTAACCGTGTTGTCCGCCCCAGCCAGTTCCGCTTACCGCCCCAGCCTAGATCACCTCGCCGCACCGTTCAAATGCCTATGTGTGTTCATATCCTCAGGCTGTTTACTGCCGGGTGCAGACGTTGTTACCGCGTGACCTCCCGCCGGCCGGGAGGGTCGTATAGGCAGAGGCCATACCGAGACCCCGGCATCCTGCCCCGCTGTGGGCATCGTAGTCGGTTGTATGCCGATATTACAGACGTCTGAGAGTTTCAATCATTGAGTGATACTTGAAACTGGCGCTCCCACCGATACGCTTTCAATGCATACCGAATTATTGCCTGCTATTGCATCCAAGGCTGCTGCATCCAATGCTACTGCATCCATATCCAATCCATGCTGAATTATTGCCCAATTTGCATTTTCACGCACGCTGGAGGCCAAAATGTGCCGGACCCAGGCATAGCTATGTCAACTGCAGTCCCTGTACGTTTGAACTTACATTGCACATCAACATACGAAGTTTTTGTCATGCGAAGTTTTTGTTTTTGTCATGTTTTTGTCATTCAAGTCCATGTTTTGGTCATGCGACTTTTGTCCCTGACGAATCTGGGTGTGCAAACATGATATTTCGCACGGGGCACGCATTTTCTTCGCGATTTTTTCCGACGAACATTTTACCGTGCGGACTCCATCCTATACAAGCCTTTTCATATTACAAACTTTTGACTTCACTACACCCTTCTTAAGTTTCCTGACAAACTTAAGGCATCCGAACTTTATCCCACGAATAGTTTCCATACAGACGTTTCTGGTGCTCCTTTGCCCGTAGTCTTCTTGGTACGGTATTGATTCCAAATATGAAATGTCCAAAAGCTATGGTTTTGTTATCAGCGCCTCGAGAAGACCCTACACCCCCAAACCGAAAGCAATCACGTCGCCCAAAGTATCGAACTGGCGACCCAATAGCAGCTTGCTACTGGATTGAGAAATGTTTTAAGGACGTCTTTAGCCTCTTCAACTCGGCAAATAATACGGCCAATGTAAAATAACTAAATATAGCTGTGCATAACTCAACAACGCGTTTCAAGGCTGCTTAAATAATGCTTCTGTGCCAGGTGAATGGCACTCAGAAAGAGTCGACCCGAGGCGAAACACAGCGGTGACGGGGGAGGGGAGGGAGTGGCTGCTTACCGCCCAGGGCGGTCTACCCGAGGTGAAACACAGCGGTAACCGGGGAGAGGGGAGGAAGTGGCTGCTTACCGCCCAGGGCAGCCGACCCGAGGCGAAACACAGCGGTGACGGGGGAGGGGAGGAAGTGGCTGCTTACCGCCCAGGGAGCTTGCCTCCGAGGCCTTGCGAACTTGCAATAACGGTGAAAATTGGTAGTGAGACTCTTGAGCAGCATGTGAAACTTGATTGCCGCTCGCACATCCTCTTTTGAAGACACTACTTTGCATGGCCAACACACCTGTAAGAGGCTTAGGACAAATTGGCTCCTTCCCGTATTCAGAAATGGAGAAGAAAAACTTCCAACAGTAAGAAAAATCAGGGAGGGCCGATCGAATTATTACAATTCTGGGCCGCAATCTGTGCCATATTGAATTAATTTGCATGTCTATTAAAGCTGAAATCCTGTTCGAAATGGTCACCACGCGGATTCGAAATGGTTCGACTTTTATCGATACACATATGGAACGAACCGAATACACTCTGCGGATGAATATGTTAGAATACATGTCATCACCAAGCCTAACAGCCATTCATTCATCCCGCGGCAGTTACGGAATAAGGCCACTGACAATGTGCTATATGCAGTGATTCTTGCTTTTGAAGTGGGACAAAGAGCTCGCACAGAAACCAAGTGAGAACTGCATATCTGTAACACAGCTGTAGGCTTATGTTACGACAATGCTTTGCAAATCATTCCTCAGTGAATTGTTGCGGGCAAAGCAGCAGAATATCACATTTGCTACAAATGACAGGTTTCTATTTATTTAAAATTTGAAATTGTCGGAGTTGAGTTCGAGTCCAGTCGCACTTGCAAACGAGTCCAGACTACTCCTTTCGATACTCGGACTCAACCAAATTGTCTCATTTCACGGATGAGTTGCACTTAGCTTCGTACTTTCCAAAAAAACTGGAGCTCTTACCCGGCTCAATCTCAATGCACCGGGACTTTAGAGAGTACTCACGATTCTGGCGGCCTGCACTTGGACAAGTTTTGATTTCATTGAAGAATCCACCATGGACAAAAGGTTCATTTAAAAGCGCATTACATGTAAATAACGCAGTTTCACTTTGTTATGAAAAGGTAAATATCGCCGTGCATACCTATTAAGTCGTGTGGATTGGGCAAGTCGCGCTTTTATCGGCTTGGGTTGGCTTGATTTATTGAAACAATTAGTTTGGGTTCGCTGATGTACGATTGCGCATTGGTCACCGCAAC